GAATTGATGTAAGTCATTGCCAGGTAGTTGTCCATCTTGTTTTAGAATATCCTTTTAACCCACCATCTGCGATTATGTTTTCAATTATATCTTTAGACAACACATTTTCTGTTTGATGTGTGATTGTCGAAAATAAGTAACCAGCTTCTTCATGCAATACTTGGTGGTTTTTGGAAAATAGATGTTTCATAATATCAGTCATTAATAGATTGTTATGATGTGCGATGCATCCAACAGGAATGATATGGTTGAATGACTGTGTTTTGGTTAACTAATTTTTTAGCAGCGACCATTATCTGATACAATTGATGAAAATTTTTCTGGTCCTAACTCTTTAATCACATTCCAAATATTTTTTGAGAAATATAACCAGCAGTGTGAGAATCCAAAGATAGGCCTTCTAATGATTAAATAAATTCTTTTCAAGATGGTAAATGGATCTTCCAGATGAACTATTAATACTAAAAAACAATCAAGTAATTTTTATCAGAAGGTTCTATATATCTTCAAGGATTGTACTAGTAACATTTACTAATTCTTGATTAATCCAAGAACTTGAAAAGGTAATTAATTATATTAGATAGCTGATAACCTGAAAGAAATCTGCAAAAAAAAAAAAAGATCTCATAGCATACAAAAAATCTAGTAAATCAATGCCCGATTGTATCTTTGTTCTTTAGCACTATCAATTTTGTTTGATTGTATTTTAATGCTAGTTGATCTACCATCTCATGAGCCTTTCCTTTTCAACCATGAGCTTGACATATATAGTCTGTATGGCCATTTTTTTAATGCCGTTATTGGATTTATTTTTTCCATTTTACCATGTATTTTTCTTAAAAATAAAAAAAAAGAATAAATCATCATTTTAAAATGGGATGATATTTTTTCTCGGTAAAATGCAATCCCTATCCAAAATTGTTTCTTGTTCACACATGCGGATTGTCATGTGTTTGTCGGTTGAAGCTTGCATCTGGTCTACGCTTTTCTTTTATTGATTATTATAATAAGAAAATAAAAAATGGCAAAGTTTTTTTTTTCAATAAATTTTTATAGTTACCCTTATTATATTAATATGATTTTATTTTTTTAAACATTTGCCATTGTATCAATAATTTGCTTCCCAAAATGTATGCACCTAGCATAAAGTTTATATATTCATTTACAATTTTGTTTTCCGTTCCTATCATCTGATAACATACGTCTACAACTGATCATTTGGTTGATGTATTCAATATTCAATACTTTTTACCTTGTTCCTTCCGAAGATTAAAAAGATCAATTCTAAAACCATTTTCCAAGAATTATTTCTTGTTAATAAGAATCAAGTTGGAATTTTTTATGCAAAAAAATTTTTCTGACCTTAACAGGTTTACCAAGTTCATTTTCTGTCTAACCATACAATTAAATTGTTATTGTGATCGGCAAGATTGATGTTAATATTAAGTTTTTTTTGGGTTATATACAAAATAAATTTTTACGGTAAATTTATATATAACAAGTTTATTTACGAGTTTGTTGTGGAAACAAAACTAACGATTTATATATTTACGCGTCTTTGTAAATCATAACCTCGTTTCAATGAAACTACTATTACTATGTGGGCACATAAGAACATTGCATATATTAAAAACTCGTTGTAACATGAATTTAATCATTATAAAAAAGAGGCATTATTTGTAAAAAGAAAAAAGAAAAATGTACGATTCAAAAATCAACTACGCGCAGCACAAGAAATAAACTATTATTACTATAGTGAACAAGTCACTTGGTCACCGAACTTTCTGCGCCAGAACACAGATTTGATAATGTCGAATTTGTGATCGCGTGATTTAAAATTCGAGAATGCGACCATTTCTTTGTTTTACTTAAATAATAATTTTAAAAAAATAGTCACGTGATCATAAAAACCAATAAATTAATTGTAATTCAAATTTTTTTTTTGATTTATGAAATTTATGGAACAAGAGCTCTCTGGAATAAAAGTGTCAATTTCACTAAAAATCCATCCGCACCTCCCATGCAACCAGTGGATGTTTCTTTCGAAAATTAAAAGCATTTTCATCATCAACTAGAAAAAAAAATGTGTCAATTCTTCCGATTCGTAATATAAAAATTTTTGCCAATTTTGGGTTTAACATATATATAACAACAAAAATGAAAATCATACATTTTGAGAATTAAAGGATCTACGTAGCCAAAGTATAGTGTTAACTATTATGATTTTGGTCTGGGGTCTAATGATTATTTGCTAATTCATTTTGGATCACTTCGATTGCTGTAAAAGCACGTGATATTTTTTTTGGATTCTTCAGCTTGGAAACTTAAAAGAATATATAAATAAATTTATATTATTGGAATTAAAATTTATTACAATCAATTATTGAAAGAATTATACAGTGATTGTATTTAAGTCCATCTTTAACTTCAATATATATCTTATAATTAAAATTCCGAAAATCAGATTGTCACAAATTATCACTATTTTCGAAACAAACCTATTTCTCCATCGTGTATGAATTTGATAAGATGCGTCTCCGTAATCTCCGCAATCTTTGAATTCCGAGCGGGTTTGTGTTACATCTCCACAACACTGGGGCAACGAACCTCATCATATACCATATGATATACTAACTAAATACGTTAAATGTTTTACGAAAATCAAATTTCGGACATTGTGCTCCATATAAGGATTATAAATGAAGTTACCCGACAAACAAAGAATTTTAGTGCATATTATGAAATAAGTAAATTCTACTGGACAATGTATGCTTACTAATAATAACAGTAATGGTTATTGTCACAAATAAAATTTCGAACCCTAAAATTTTTCTTTATATAAAAATTAATTATATTGAAAAAATGCTTTTCGACAAAATGTATGTATACATACAATGATATCAATCAAATATATCAAATAGAAAAGACAGTTATTTTGAAAGGGTCTTTTGACACTATTAAAGTATTCCAAGCTATATTGAACAATATGAAAAATGGAAGAGATTGCTTTTATTCTAGAAAATGCAATAAGGAATAAATAAGAAATAATAAGGATAAGGAAAAGGATACGCTATTAATATTCTAATAAAAATTTCAGCTGCACCAAAGTACTCACACTATTTTATTGATTGAAGATTTTTATTTAGATAGAAAATATGAATGGGATTAAAACAATCGACTGCACGGATGCTTAACAGTTAGGAAGTTGAAATGAACGAATATAAGATATAAAATGAATCTATTCACAGAAGGAAAGCACGGTAGGACACAATGTCAACTATTCCTATTGTTCTTCTCATTATAATATATTGTCATTGTTGTTGTTGTTGTTGTTGTTGTTGTTGTTGTTATTGTTGTTGTTGTTGTTGTTTACTTATTCTATGCACAAAATTGCTGCTCTATCAGCCTCGCCATTTTGTAAAAATGGTCCAAAACAGTAGGTATTCATTGTAATACAGATTCAGATTATCCTGACTGGTTTTACCATTTGTATTGATATATGTTGACTTTGTACTGGTTTCTCATGCAAGTGCATTTTTGACACGTCCTTTAAGATTTGGAGGGCTTCACCCTACTCCATATTTAAATGGTTTCTCAATCTATGATAATATGCAATAGCCACTTGCAAGATTAATAGTATGTACCTCAGCCGACTTATGAGTCAAGAATTTCAATAGGTTTCCGCTGATGCTGGCCAGATTGATTTGTCGAGCATTGACTGGAGATTGATAGGAACATGCCTTGGGTATATAGCAAGTAAATAGTTTGCTCTACCTTTACACTCAGAGTTTCATCTCTCTGTGAGTCACTCTTGATCTGTCTAGAGTGCATAATCTCAATATATGTTGCCGTGTGGTGTTAATTCTACTGTTCTCTATTTAGTCAAGCTATGTTATTTTATTATTCTACTGTTCTCGTTGAAAACCAAACGTTTTAAATGGATTGATTGAACTGATTAAAAATGTTATTGGATTTATTAATTAATTAAAATTAAACTATTTGTTGCTAGTTACGCAATGTTGAAAGTATAAATCTTAATTCTAAATAAGGTTATCAGGTGGTTTATGGTTATAATACAGTGCAACATCCAACTAAATACTAATTCTTCACGAAAGTCATTAAATACAATTCTCCAAAATTGCTTGCATAAGTTCTTTTAATATATTTGTTACTGTGACAATTACCTATAAAAACTATGATTGAAGATTTATTCCATTCATTCCAATAAAGTTGGGTATATCCAATCAATATATAATTGTTTTTAAAAATTGTACGAATAAACAATTTATCACATTACTGTATTTAATAATAATAATAATAATAATAATAATAATAATGTCCACCATTAAAATTCATTTGTAGCTATATAAATATTTGAAAACCAATTATATGGATTTGGTGATTAAACAAGCCAAGCAAGCAACATCTAAATATTTTAAATTGGTTTTCTCGATTTAGAATATTTTATAATTACCTTTAATTTAACAACTTTAAAAAGGAAACAATACCCCTCATTCATTTTCAACATTTCCATTAATTAAATCTCGGTGATTTTCATAATTAAATGATTATCCAGTCAATAATGGATTATTAACCAAGTCAGGATGAATGAAATCAACTAATACCTTTGATACTATTATTTAAAACGGACTTATATATTCGTTTCACATCAATGCCTATTAACCAAAAACATTTTTAAATGACGGATAAATTTCTTTTAAGGTATCCATATGGGTAATTTAACTCAATTTCCCAAATATTGATTATTGTGTATTACAAATAAAAAAATTAAATATAAAATGTATGTGTGTCACTTGAACTCTCCAAGTGTGTGTGTGAATTAACATAAAGGTTTGCTTTTTATTTTTTATTATAATATATTGATTGATAAAGAATAAAAAAGTAATATATGTGTGTATGTGTGTGTATATGCGTCATAATGACAATAATAATTTTAATGTAATTATTAACAAAAAAAAAGTGATTGATAAATCAAACAAATGGGACAAGCCGATTCACGGCCTTTACAAGAAATGGTTGAAAATAGCAATTGTAAATATCAAGCGAGAAATATAATATTAATTTTTTAACAATGACATTTTAAAACAATTAATTTATTTGTTTTTTTTTTGCGCTAACAAATATTGTTTTTCTTTTCCCACTACTACCTCACCTTTCCTTTTCCCTTTTCCCTTTTCCTTTTATATTTGTTATATAGTTACCGCCGAAGAAATACAAAGACTTTACAAAAGATTTATGAAACTTGATAAAGATAAGTCAGGTTCCATAGATCGAGAAGAATTTCTTTCTATTCCACAAATTGCCAATAATCCATTAGCATCAAGAATGATTGCTATATTTGATGAAGATGGGGGTGGAGATGTAGATTTCAAAGAGTTTATTGCTGGATTGAGTGCTTTCAGTTCAAAAGGAAACAAAGATGAGAAATTACGTTGTAAGTAAATATATTTATAATTTGATGAATGTGCATTGAAAAGTTATATATCATTTATTAAATATTATTACACACCATTACATATTATTATTGCATAGGAAACAATATTACATATTATTACATACTAATGATTACAAATTTATTATTACATTAAATAAAAAAAACAGTTGCCTTTAAGGTATATGATATGGATAGAGATGGACTCATTTCCAATGGGGAATTATTTATTGTATTGAAGATGATGGTTGGCAATAATCTTAAAGATAATCAACTTCAACAAATTGTTGATAAAACGATTATGGAAGCTGACAAGGATATGGACGGAAAGATTTCTTTTGAAGAATTTTATTCAGTAGTAGAGTCAACTGATATTGCAAAAAGTATGACATTGAACGAATTCTAGTTTGTAAAATTGGTAACAGTGTATCGTTTGTTTATTTTTTTGGATGAGTAATTTATTTAAATAAAAAAGTAAATAAATATATGAGTGTAAATTTTAAATTATTTTTTCTTAATTCATTTTCTTTGTCCAAGACAGTGTTAGTGATTCAATAGCTAGTGAGTGAGTGAGCGAGCTATATAGTTGATTAATGAGGATAATAATAAAGATGGATCAAAGATAAAAAAAAAATTTTTTAAGATTATTAACTAACGCATTTATTCATACACCAGCATAATTAACACGATCCTCCCATGAGATGGCAACGGGTATACGTTTAAAGTTCTTGTGAAACTCTTCGCC